AGCGGTCCAGGCAACCTTGACCATCCTGTTGGCAGGTAGGATGAATGGGAAGGAGAAGAAAGTTGGCTTAGTCCTGAATATAATAAGAGTAGCCCAGACAGAGGAGCTGAGAACTGAAGAGAAGAATCTGTGGTCTGGCCACGCATGACGATGTCTAAAATCCATTGCTTTTCCCAAACATCCAAGCCAGGTCAGGCAACATTATTTTGATCTAGATCAAGGCTTTTCAACCAGTGTACGGATACCACCTGTGGTACATTGGCACCTGGCAGGTGGTACGTGACCATCCTAGAAAAGTAGCGAGGGAGAGGAATGAGCTGAACCGGTGACAGCACCGCACAAGCCTGAGCGAGAGATGGCTGGAGCTGCAGGGCTGTCAGGGCTCAGCAGAAGCGCCAGGATCAGTGCTTCTTTGGGACTCAGCTGGAGCTCGGCGCTGATCCTGGCACTTCTGCTGAGCCCCAGAAGAAGCGCCGATCAGCTGGAATATTGCAGCATCTTCAGGGTCTTGTGATTTACATTCAGATGCTTGGCAAGTGATTCATATTTATGACGGTCACAGTGTCCCAGGGTCATGTGAAGTGACCAAAATCTGCTACAACCAGCAGACAGGGGAATAAAAACCAAACACCCCCACCCCACACCCACTGCCAATCCTCAACAGAAATGCTCACAATGAAAACCTTGGACAGGAGGAAGAGCGCCACTGGGCAGGCAGGCAGGCAGGTGTCTTGCTGGGTTGTGCCTTGGGGGGCACTTTTTTCAGTGCCATTGAAACTTCGAACAGTCTCTAAGCGAACTGTTATAAATCAAGGAATACCTGTACTTCATTTTTTCCTTTTTTTGGTCATCAAGTTTTTGACACCTTGGTAGGTGACTGGTGATACTTGGATATTGCCATATCCTAAAAGTGGTACAATGGGTGAAAAGGTTGAAAAGCCCTGATCTAAGATATTTTATATGGAGCAATGCACTTTTCTCTAGATCAACGTTTCTCAACCTTAGCAATTTGAAGGATATGTGGACTTCAACTCTTAGAATTCCCCAGCTAGCCTGCTAAGATTGAGAAATGCTGATCAAGATGCATAACTAGAGAAATGAGTTTTGTTAAATGCTAAAGGCAGAACAAAGAGTCTGTTAGAGTAAAGCTGAAACCATTTTTTGGCAGGAGACAGACATGAATTAAAGGGAATTCCTGGGGAATAGCTGATGAGGACCAATTTTTCCTGTAATTACAAGGTGTAGAATGCTGCTTGTTTAATTGCTTTTAAAAAATGTTGGTCTCCCATTGATGAATACGGGACTTAAGGCAAGTCATTTTGTTATACTAAAGGATTTTTCTTTTAGAAAAACAGATTGCACATAGTTAGTCTGGTAAAAAAAGAATTCTGGTGTATTTTGGCTTTTTATCTCTGTAGGAAGAACTGTTATCGTCTAAAATTCTTCTGCATAACTTAGGACTGTTTTTTTTTTCCTGTGACATCCCAACTACCCAAGACCACATAGGACCAGTGTATTTAAAAAATCTTGGAGACTTTTTAAAAACTGCTCTGTCCCTTGGATTGACCCTTAAATATTTTCTTCATGGCAGAATAGATTGTTTAGTTGTTCTTACTTTTTGTTTACTCCTCCAATCTATCTGTGGGCAGACACCTCCTTTGCCAAGTTTCCCTCCTCTCTTTATGTATTTGCAGAGGTATTTAATTAAAAAAGGGTGTGTGTGAAATGCTGCTTGATGCAAAGCACAGGCATTGGAAACAACTTATTTTTGAGAGGGCCTCTGTGCCTCCCTCTGAGTATAGAAAACTATAGAAAATAATTAAATGACAGGAGAATGCAACCCAAATCCCCCTGCCCCAAATAAAAGTAAACTCATGAAATTAAAAGCATCTGAGGTGGTGGCAGGAGACAGCTTCCCCTATTTTCAACCATTTGGAAGCCATTTTGTGGAGATATGATCCTCCTTCATTGAGAGCCATTTTGTGAGATTATCCATCTCAGGTTTCAAATCACCGTGTGCCTGTCAAGTAGCAGCGAAGGCCTCTTCCTGCAGCTTTGAGTTCTTGCCTTGCTCCTGAGTCTCACTTGCTCTTCCAGAACTCAAGGTGCAGCCGCAGAATTTGCAGGAAGAAAGCCAGAATCACCCAAGCAGCAGAGAACATGAGGAAATACTTTTGACTCAGCAGCCCCCGTCTTTGAAAACGCAGGAGAGCGACCTCAAGGACAGTGCAGATACGCCAACATCCGGAATTGGCACTGACACCAACAGTTGGCTGGATTCCCAGCCTCCCTTCAAGAGCCATTTGCCCCTCATGACTCAACTCAACCATCTGCAGGCAGAAACCAGAAGGTCAGTTCTTCCTGGATTGCGTCTGAGGATTGCATCCCAGAAGGCTGGGATGGAGCTGCACAAAGCCACTTTGCAGTGGTGCAGCTAGTTAAATATACATCCTTTAAAACAAGCAAGGAAAACAACCATTTGCAAGTAAGCAGAGGTAGTCTTTGACTTCCAGCCATTTATTTAGTGACCGTTCAAAGTTACAACGGCACTGAAAAAAGTGACTTATGACCTTTTCTCACACTTGCGACTGTTGCAGCATCTGCATAGTCAGGTGATCAAAATTAGGATGTTTGGCAACTGGTATGTCTTTATCATGGTTGCAGGGTCCGGGGTCACGTGATCACCTCTTGTGACCTTCTGATAAGGAAAGTCAATGGAGAAGCCAGACTGACCTTAACAACCGTATTACTAACTTAACAATTGCAGTAATTCACTTAACAACTGTAGTAAGAAAGGTCATTAAATGGTGCAAAACTTAACAACTGTCTTGCTTAGCAGTGGAAATTTTGGATTCAACTGTAGTCGTGAGTCAAGGACGATCTGAACAGGCAGATGTCTATGGAGATTCTCAATCATCTCAATCTAGGTCACAGAATCAAGCCACATTAAGGTTTAGCAATGAGTACTAACCAAGCCCTGGTTTACGTCTACTCAGTGATCAATTTTTAAATTTAGGAACATAACCAGCTTGCCCTGATCTTTTTGGCTCTGGTAGGTTGCAGTGGAAACTGATAGAGAAGCAGCAGGAATGTCAGAGGCTCCTACAAGAAGCTTTGAAGATCATGGAACAGGATACCTGGTCTCTGAAGCGGCCACAGATAATAGGTGAGGTTTTGGATAGCAGCAGGTTTAGACTAGAACCAGTGCTTGAGAGTAACATTTCTGCATCAGTGAATTCTATTTTAAATTGAATTTAAAATAAATTGTAAATAAATAAACCTTTTTAAATAAACTGGCATGGTGGTAAAGACATCTGCCAGGGGCAAAAGAATGAAGATGGGGCTGTTACCAAAGCTATGCCCCTTTTTTATATGCATGACAGCGCTTCGGTTGTGTAGCCATGCCTGTCTTTTTTGACCCCCTCCCCTTTCCAGTGGCAGATGCTGCTGCATGGAGGGCAACTTAACTGACCTACTTCCAATTTTGCAAGAGGGACTCAAGCCTTACAATGTGTTCCTTGGGAATGTTCATGAGATTTCTAAAAGTAGAATCTGTGCATGTTCAGGTACCTCTTTGTGGAAAGTTGTTTTAGATCAGGACAAACTCTGCATCAAGATCAGCCATCTGCTGTGACAGTTGCCATGCTCAAGAGACCTTCTATATGCAAAACACATGTTTGACCTACTGCTGTGGTCTTTCTCCTCTTTTTTAAAAAAGCTGTAATAAATTAACATGTTCAAGATAAAGGTGGCACTTCACTTTTATATACAGTGTAATATAACTTTTTAGCTAGGTTCCCGTAACACAGCAATGCACAAAAACCCTTCCTGGTTAAAATTAATTAAGCTTATCTTATTGGGCCAATGTATCTCCTCAATCTTGAACTTTCCTCCTGAAGTGTGTTATGGGAATGCCATATATTTAATATTATTTATTGATAATATTAAAATTAAAATCCAGGAGCAAAGGGGAGAATTTCAGTAGCAAAGTGTTCTGGGATCTTTCACATGCAGCCTTAAGAGCAGAAGAAGCAGAAGCGTCTTTTTAAGTCTTCTCTTTTCAGGATCATGCTTGGCCTGGTGCAATAAGCAGTCCATAGAGACCGAGCTTTGCAGTGATAGAGAAGCAAGACTTGTCTTCTACACTTATGTCTCTGTTTCCCACTTGTGAAACTGCATAGCCTCTTCTGCCTGACCTCCCAGCTTACTGTTTCCTCCAGGAGGAGAGCTGTATACAGTTTTGGGAACGACAACAAAGACCATCTGAAGCAAGGAAATGTGGGGAAATTGCAAAGTGTAATTTTAAGAAATAGAGTTGGTCCAAGAAGGAGCTTTGATCTGGTTCTTTTCCACCTGCCTTCCTAGAAATCCCTCCTTCTCCAACTTCCTGGGACCAAGGAGAAAATGCTGGAGATCCCTTCCTGGCAGAATGGTTAGAAAAACATGGTGCAGACAAAGCCACGGTGGCAGTGGTAGGTCTGATTCAGCAGCAGGTGGTTTAAGCATCTGCCCCTACTTCAGTGAGACTGGTGGAGAAGATGGCCACTCTAGGCTAAATTTTGTCTTCTCAGACAAAAGGCCGCTCTAGCCTCAAAATAGCAGTAGAAAACTTGCCTTTAGAGATGCCCATCTTTAGAGGCAGAGCTTCTGTTTCCAGGGATGAGTGGCATAATGGTTAAACAAAGACCAGGGGAGGCCTGCAGTCAAGATTCCATTCAATTGTGGAGCTTACTAAGATGACATGGGGCCATTCAACCTGTTTGTCAAGGTGATGGAAGGTGGTGGCTTTAAGAAACAATTGGACAAAAGAAATTCCACATTGAGCTTGGAGGAAACTTGGGGTGTAAATCAAGTCAGGAATTCAAATTATCCTCTTTTCTTAAAGTTCTGCTACCATGGATTCACCCTGAATGATTTGCTGAAGCTGGCTACAATCGATGATCTCCGATACACGCGCATCAGGTAGGGCGGAAAGAGGCAATCATTTCAGGGTCAGCATGTAATTTTGCCTGATAAGCAAGGCTCCTAAGATAATTTTATTTGTAACAAATTAGTTAAAATCCTGAAAAGTTTGGGTACTATTATTATGCGTGTACGATTTAAGAATCATCAACTCATCACGCAGATGCCAGCCGCACCTGCTGCAGATAAATTGGTATTATCCTTGGCACCATGTTAGTTCTGATTACCTAAGAAAAAAATGCATATTTAAGCAGAACGTCTCTAACATTTCAAAGAGGGTGCTGTTTGTCTTCTCCCTTATTTGGGAGCTCCTGCGGATTGAACTTGTGATCCTGCAATAACAGAAATTTTAAAAAATTGCAAGCCAAATAATTCCTCTAAAAGCATGCTGCATATCAGTCAGGAGGAACCACAGGAAGCTGCCGTTTGTTCTGTTCAATGTTACTTTGACCTATGAAAAATGTTCACTTCCACAGCTGTAGATACCAGTTGGTTGATGGGTTGTTTTCTCTCGGCAGAGGGGGAATGGTGTGCCGTATCTGGAAAGCCATCGTGGACCACCGACAGAACCTATCCCAGCAGCAGCTACACCAGCAACCATGAGGAAAGGAAAGCTTGGATTTCTTGGCAAGGCAACAGACTCTGATCACCCGGCCCATCTTCTCACCAGCAGTTGAGATAAGGCTGGAAAGATTTTCTAACTTGTCAGCCCTCATATTGAGGTCAGATGTTGGCTTCTTATCTTTCCTTGGTCCAAGAAAGTGACCCAAAAAAAATCATCCTCAGAACAAATAGATTTGGGGAGAACCTCCCAGAGGCAGTTTCCATGGAAGACTTCTGCTAAATTTAGCAACATGCATTATGGACTGAGAAAAAGCAGAAAACGTTTTCTCTTCTTGCTGAAAGTCCCCAAAAGGGACTGAGGAATGTTGTGATACTCTTACTGTTATTACGAGAGAGGCTGCATCAGGATTAGGAGTTCTCTGCCGAAGCCCCACCTTGGCTACCAAGATCAATTCAGCAATTGTGGACAGCTCTACATCAACTCCACTCCAATCCTGCCATCTCTAGCACAAACCCACCAGTGCAGCTGTAGGAGTTAGTGGTGTGGTAATGAGAGACACTGCAAGCTGTGCTCTAAGGGACCTATAAAAAGTAAGAACAGTTTAATGGGACTGTTTAAACATTTCCCTGGATCGCCATAAGGAACGAAGGTGGAGTTCAGAGATGTTTAATCAAAATGGTTATTTAAAAAAATAGTATTAATCCTTGGCCATGTGCATGGAGAACACTGGAAATGGGCAAAGGTGACTATAAGGCAGTTTATTTCCTTGAAATAAAGTGGGTGTTCTAGTCATCCCAGTGCGGAGTTTTTTTCACAAGAGATCCCTAGAAGCCACACAAGGTTCTCCTTAAGTCGGTAAGAGGAGGCAAACTTCACACATCAATAAAGTTGTTATTCTGCCTTTGTCCCAGTGGCTATAGCTATTCCCAGCATCAGGAACCTGATCTTAGGCAAAATCCTCTCAAAACCAAGGGGGTTGTAATGGGGGCCTCCATAAGGTATAGTCATCAATTTGCCATCAGACTAAATCTGATAGCACAGGAATCCTACTGTTGTTCAGCTAAAGGCTAGGACGAAGTCCTTGAAGTCAGGTTGGTCCTCAAGGGAAGAGCAGCTTCCACCCACTGTTGAGGTTGCTTGAAGACCATCTCCCAGGTGTGGCGCTCTTCTTCTGTTGAATCCATCCAAGTGACCGGTAGGCCATAGCTGTTCCCTGCATAAAAACCAGTTTCCAGTCAGAGATTGCCTTGTATATAATAAGCAAGAGGTAGCAGGATAATTTTGCAGGCAGGGTGTTTGATTTCTATAATGAATTCTCTGGATAAGAAATAGTGGAATGCCCTACAGCGGAGGTCCCCAACCTTTTGGGCACCAGGGACCGGTTCCATGAAGAGAGGTTTTTCTGCAGAGTGGAGGGTCCGTGGTTTTGTGTGCTGCCTGCATCTTGCGGATGGGGCTTTGCTTGTTTGTGCAGACTGGTTGCTGGCATGCCGTGGCCCGGTACTGGTCCACGGACCGGGGGTTGGGGACCCCTGCCGTACAAAATGTCTCTGCTACTCCTAGGATCTGTGCATACAATTGCATCTCAAACAAAGAGCTGTATACATACAGCAATGGATGTTCAATCTTCAGCAAAGAGATGTAGACCTCCACTTATACACTTATATTTTGGGGAATGGGAGGCATTTGCTAGTTTTCCAGACATTAATCCTCCAAATCATGTGGTTTGAGGTATTCAAGACATTATTCAAGATTTTGGAGGTTGGATTACTGCTCTAAAGCAAATTGGAGAGTTAATTTGTGGAAAACTGACAGATTACCCCAGACTCACGTGAATCAGAGGAGGAATGGAACATTATGAAGTTCTCCAATACTACCTTTCCAAAACAAGAGGCTTTATGCATCCATCCTTCCATCTCTTAGTGCTTGGGTGTCTCACCTGTGCCAAGACTCAGCCGGATGCCTCCTAGCCGATGCTTTGAGAAAGTCTCCCGCTGCCACACAGTGAATTCAGCACATGCCTGTGCTAAGTCCTTAACCTCAAAGCCATCATAGACCATAGTGTGATTGAAAGTAGGGTTCAGAGTCTTTTTCACAATTCGGGTCTTCTGGCGGTTCAACTTGGTGTCATCTGGGAGGATGTAGCTAGAAAAGGATAAAGCGACAAGATGGATATTTTTGAAGTTTCAGCCTGAACTGGGCAGGAAAGAGTTCTTCCAATTTGGACATGGCCCAACTGTTCTTTTAATAATGGCCAAGCTTCCAAGTTTCTGTTATCAAACCAATACAGTGCAAGCTAAGCCCTGTGCAGGAATATTTAGTCCACTGAGTACAGTAGCCTTTTTCAGGGAGGGCTGAACATTGAGAAATTAGGGATCAAACAAACTGATCCAAACTAATAACATCTTTTATTTAACAAAAAGTAGCTACATGTTAGGACAGGTGTATAAGCTGGATCAAGACTGTTACAAGGAAGGATTAAACCTTTCTCCCCAGGATTTTTCTTCCTTAAAAGTTTGTTTGCCACTACAGTTAATCTATTTATGATATATACTTTTCTTAGATGATCACAGGACCATCCAGCATTGGGATAAAAAGAAATAATACACTCAACCTAAAATGCAATGTTCATTCTGGTTACATCAGATTGCACTACCTTTCTTTGAAAGGTTGACCCAACAAATCACACAGTTGTCTAGTTACATCTAAAGAGAAGAGCCCATCCACTGACAAGAGTGTTTGAACTCCATCTGGATCACTGAGTCCAGAGTTTAAAATTATCCAAGTGCAGCACTGTGCAAAGAGCCATCAAGACTAGCATTCAATGTCATGCAGCAGCCCAACCAACAGACACAAATAGATTACTGGGACACAATTATGGAAACTCCTTAATTGCACAATGCACAGAAAGGCTTAACCATAGTTTCAAATGGGAAACAGAGAGCATCCTAGACCAAGCCAAGGACAAAAATGCTAGAGAATTCCTGGAAGCCTGACAGACAAATCATTTCTCAACAGGCATAGTTGTGACCTGTAAACACAGTGTGACTTTGATTCTTTTTTTAAAAAGGAATCACTGAATAAACAATCATGAGCAACTTCTATAACCAACTATAACCCTTCAAAGTACAGAGATAGATGATAGGTAGGTAGATAGGTGGATGGATGGATAGATAGATAGATGATAGATAGATAGATAGATAGATAGATAGATAGATAGATAGATAGATAGATAGACAGACAGACAGACAGACAGACAGATTCATTTTAAATACAGTTATTTTCCTGTCATCAAAAAGTTTCTGCAGAAAGAACAAGGAGAGAAGAAATCTATTGTCTTTCTGGCGAGGGAGGGAGGAAAAAAAGGCAGACAGGACTAATAATGAATAATTCTGACTGTCCTACTGAGAAAGACAAGAAACATCTAGATACACATCAAGCTACATAATAACTGAACCAGCCTGGCCTTCAGTTGCTTAGCCAATCCAAGTCTTTCTCCATTACAAAAGACTTACAACTACTGATAGTTACCATTGAACGAAGGCATCTACCGTGGTCCCTAACCGAGGTACAAGATTCTCTGCATTCTTGACCCACATATGAAGCTCTCCAGTGGGAGGAAGTCCTGGCTCTGAAATAAAGTTGTGTTAAGAAAGGGGACTCTGGAAAGCATACCATCCACCCTCAGCATGATACCAACCTCTAGTTCAACACCCCTCCTTAGCCAAAATCATCCAAAGATTCAAGAAGTGTGCCACTTACTCCAGATTTTAGAACCTGAGCTTCTTCCATTGCCCATAGTTGATTAATTAATGATTTCTGGAGTCAAAATCCCTTGGATTCCTCCAAAAACAATGAACTGTTATTCTTTTAAGATATCATAAATAAGTTTGTTCTTGGCTGGAGCGTTGGACTAATAGACGGCCAAGGTCCCTTCCAGTCCTATGACTCTATGAAATACTGGTTTCATTAATTCTCATGACTCTATTTGAGGTCAATTAAGGATATGGTTCCTTTGGGAGTCATAATGGTAGATATTGCAGAAGGAATGGACATTTCTGTTCCAGTCCAAAACTATAGCAGATAAGGAAGTAAGGAGAATGCCTAAAAAAAACCAGGGATCCTTAAATTCTCACCTTCTGAACCAGCTGGAATAAATTTCAGGGCCAGGTTGAGTTTACCACGATTAGGGACCATATCTGGAGTAGCAGGAATCTGAAAAGGTGGGAAGGAGAAATTCGGCCAACAGCAGGAATGTGGTTATGAATCCCAAGGTTCCTTCTTACTATATGATTCAATCAGCCATTAAATTCAATTTACTGTGGTCAAAGACCAGAACAGATAATAAACAAAATTTAAGACAGAGTTAAAATACATTTGTAAAATAACTTATCTAGCAGCTAATATGGGAAATCCAGGATAAAGCTTATACTAAATTATAATGTAAACACTAAAATTATATTAAGCATATCTAAAATTTACTATATAATTCTATGAAAACACTGCTCAAAAAATGATTTGAAATTGCACAAGTCTCTACTGATGCTTCTAATTGTATTATATAGGTTATGTCCACAATGTTGCATTGCTAAAGGGCAATTTTATTCCATCAGGCATTCACTGAAAATATTGGAATTGTAACTAGTGGAAAAGTATGTGGAAGAAAGGGTTGAAATTTACATTGAATTACTGGTATCATTTTAAAGAGAATTTTTATAAAATGATGTATTTGTCAGAGACAAAGAATCAGGACAATACATTAAGTTCCAATTAAGATTTATTGCTCAAGCCTATACACAAGAATCTAGCACTAAATTGGAGCTAGATAACAGTGAATGGAATTCAAAAGGGGCTGGGCTTGGAGCATTTATGAACATGTAACAATTCTAGGCTAAGTCCGCTCATGATTCCACCCCCAGGCTCTGCCTCTTCTTCTCTTACAGTATCATTGATCTATGATAAATTGAAATGTATAACTTGAAATATTTGTTGGAAATGTAATCAAATGAAGGAACATTCTTTCATCTTTAGTAGACGTGCAACAAAGCTAGAAAATATTGGGATCAACTATGCATTTTGATGCAGATTTAAAAGTGAATGTACAATTCAAATCAGAGGCTTTTCTTTTGGTTTTAATGGATAAACGAATGAAACATCTTATGGAACTTTGTTTTTATATGTGATAATGGCAGTGAGGCTTTTATATGCTTAAAGGTGGAAGAACTTATAACAGTGATATCGAACCTCTCTGTGGGCACGCATGCCATGCCTTGAGATGGCAACCATCCTCTTCAACCAGCCGCCCGCTAACTCACCGAGGTCCCACATGGCCAGATGAATCCCAGCACCCATGCGCCCGCTGGCCTCTGTGTGCGGGGGCCAATGGTGTCAGGCAGCAGCCGCCCCTGCCTCACCTTGCCCTATGACAATGGCACCCCCGCCCCGCCCTGCCTCATCTTGCCTCGCCTCACCCCCAGGACAAGCCTCCTGCCCATCACCCCACCCACCAGAGACCCCCTGGATCTCACCCAACTCTGCCTGGCCCCCACAGGCATCTCTCCCCAGGAGCAACATCGAACTGGCCATGCCCACCCTGGCCACACCCACCCATCTGCCTTGACTGTAGCCACGCCCATCCAGTGGGCCACGCCCACCCAGCGGGTCATGCCCACCCAGTACCCGGTGATATATAAGTGGATTTTGGGTTGCAGTTTGAGCACTTGGTCTTGGTCTCTTTATAAGCCATTACTGACTTATAAAATACCCCGAATGGAAAAATGGATGAAGCTGGTGGGATTGGCAGAGATGCAAAACTGACAGCTTTGATGAAAGGAAAGACTTTGACAAATTTTATTTCTACTTGAAAATCATTTTTGGACTTTTTGCTTTGGGTACGAGTTTGATGTATTTTTTAAAATCTATATCTGTACCAAAGAAAATTGGAAGTCAGTCTTTTCCTATCTTATTTTTTCCCCACTCTCTTCTCCTCACTTTTACCTCTTTCCTGAACTTTTTTTTTTTTTCAAATCTTTTTCTGCTTATCTTTTAACTTTGTACATTTTTGGAAAATCAATAAAGTGATACAAAAGAAAATGTTGGAATTACATCCTCAGAATCACCACCACGGAGCTGCAATCTGAGAACATCTGCAGGGTTACAGTTTTGGGGGAAGGCTGCTGGGGACTATTATGGGAAATTCAACAGGAATGCTATGGGAAGCCCGGGAAAGCTGGGGTTGTGGGAGCTGTCCAGGGAGGGCTGGTGCTGATGCAAACCCAGAGCAATAGCACGATGGCATATATATATATGTAATAGTGAGGTTTAACCGCAGATTCCTCCCTCTGTTCTCTGGTCTTTTCCCAAGTAGATCCTCGAAGACCAGCTTTACATGGGAGGTACAAATTACAATGGTCATATGTGTGTTTGTCCATGTGCCTACACGTGCAATATTTCTCTAGGACAGTGGTTCTCAACCTGTGGGTCGGGACCCCATTTGGGGTCGAACAACCATTTCATGGGGGTCGCCAAACAATGCAGTCTGCCATTTTTTCCCCCTTTTCCTTAGCTGTGCTACTCCCTTTTATTCTACTGGCTTTTGAAAGCCAATAGAATAGACTTTCTTGAATAGAGTCTAATTCTATTGGCTTTCAAAAGCCAATAGGAATTGTCCAGGCTGTCTCTGCCCTGCTGAGCTCGCCAAAAGTCCCATTCTGCAAACGGTGCTGCACCAGTTGAGTAGTCCTCAACTTACGACTGGTTGAATAGTCCTCGACTTACGACCGGTTGGGGGTCGCGCCATTAAAAAGGTTGAGAACCACTACTCTAGGACAATTGCAAACACATGCCCTTCTCAGGATTGATCAGACAGGACCCAGAATGCAAGGCTATTCTTGTGAACCAGGTCACAGTTTTTAAATGCATAGCACATCAATGATAGAAGATAGACAGTTGCTAATTGAGCTGACTCAGTCACATAACTATGCAAGCAGCATCCAGCTAACACACACCAGAGATTCACCTCTCTCTTTTTCTGTCCTCCTATGCTAGCTTGCTTTATGGCCTAATTGCCATAGCATTAATTATCTTCCTGCCTGCATTAGAACTCCTTCTCCTACTATGAAAGCATGACTATCCTAAGCCTTAGCTAGGTACCTAGGCATTACTACATTCCCCAAAGAGTTAATCAAGGACTTCAAATAAAAAATAGCACCTGCCGTTGGCTAGGCAACCTTGATCTTCCTTTCATTGTCTTCAGATCCTCTTCTCCTGCTGAGCATCTGTGCCAGCTACACAGATCCCATGCCATGTCATTCTCCTCCTGATTTCTACGTCAACTCATTTTCAGTGATCTTGAATTGCCCTGGAAATTGTCTCTGTTCAGCAGCTCATGACTGTGTAATCTCATCTTTGCTTGTTAGTCATTTCCTCTTAGTTTCTCTTCCTTCTCTGAATCCAATTTAAACCCGTTAGCTTCTTGGAATTTTATACTTTGGAACCACACAGGGTATGTAGGTCAGCTGTATTAAGCCAAGCTCCTCTCCACAAGGTATTTTTCTTGGTCAATCAGAATACTAAGGCAGTAGCCAACAGGTAATCCTTGATTTACAACCATTTGTTTAGTGACTGTTCAAAGTTACAATCGCACTGAAAAACATGACCTATGGCTGTTTTTCACACGACCATTGCAGCATCCCCACAGTCACATGATCAGAATTTGGGCCAATAGCAACTGGGATGCATTCATGTGATCGCCATTCATAAACTTCCCAGCCAGCTTGTGGCAAACAATGTCAATGGGAGTAGCCAGATTCACTTAACCAGGCAATTCACTTAACAACTGCAGGAATTCGCTTAATAACTGGTTAAAAAAAAGGTCATAAAATGGGAGAAAATGCACTTAACAACTGCCTTGCTTAGCAAGAGAAATTTTAGGCTCAGTTGTGGTTGTGGTTGAAAGACTATCTATATTTGCCTCAGTGTGTATTATTGACATTTGCTTAACTGAATTTGCCATTTTGTGCCAAATTTAGCAAATCTAGCCACCTAAAGTCACCTTGTAAGGGAGGTGGCCATCATAAAACTTTAATAAATGAATAAAATGTCACGCTAACTTCTGGAGCACTCTTCCTTTTTATTAGTCACCATTGGTCAGCCGTTTTGGCTACCTCACTGCCCATCCCCAAAAGAGCATCAGCCAGGAAAAATATTTGGGAGAGACTAACCCAACCTACTATAAGAACCGACAGTTGTCCTTGCTCCATTTCTCTTTTGAACTACAGTAATTACCAATCCATAAGAAGCCTTTTGCAGCCTTTCCATGCATTTCAGCAGCATCCAGGTAATCCTTGCCCCATTTTATGGCCTTCCTTGCCACAGATGTTAAGGAAACCAGTGCGGTTGTCAAGTTAATAACACGGTTGTTAAGTGAATCTGGCTTCCCCATTGATTTTGCTTGTCAGAAGAGGTTACAAAAGGTGATCCCATGACCCCTGGACACCACCAACTGTCATAAATATGGTATCAGTTTCCGAGCTTCTGAATTTGGGTCATATTATCATGGGGAATGCTGCAACGGTCATAAGTGTGAAAAACAGTCATAAGTCACTTTTTTCAGTGCCCTCTTCTAACTTCAAACGGTCATTAAATGAACTTTTGTAAGTCAAGGACTACATGTGTGCATAAAGCTGTCTGTTTCGCCACCCTCAAAGAGTGAGATAGCAAAACAGGGCAATAATTGGATTCTATGATAAGATAGTGAGGCTGGGAGGTTTCACCACATATCACTTGCATTTTGTATTGAACCACAGACCCTCCTTAACCATTTGCAGTGGCTCTATGACTCAGTGGACTTCTTCCCTTCAAAGAGCCACATTTGCCTCTACACCTACAGAAAATTAATTCCTGTCTCAACATGATCTTCAACGGAAGCAGACAACAGGGCACTGTCATCTCCACTACTTCCTGTGGTTACCAACTGAACTTAATTGGAGACCAAATTTCAAAGGTTAAGTGATCCAATGATTCTCTGAAGATAAGCCATAGGACTTGTCCAGGGATTCCGATCTTCTCAGTCATTATATAATTCTAATTAAACGTCTGTAAGATTACACAATAATTCCCTTCTTTCTATAATCAATTCTTTCTAATCGTTCAAACTGTAAGTCACAATTTCTCTCTCTTTCTCTCTCTCTCTCTCTCATGTTTTTTGTTGCAGTATTTCCTATCTCCTTTTTTGTCTCTTCCTTTCTTTCCCTTTTTTCACATTTAATATATTGTTTTCTTTGAATGTATTTCTCACTGTACATGTAAAATCTTTTAATTAAAAAAACTATTTTTAAAAAAAGAGTGGTGCCTGGATCACTTTGTTTCCCGCCTCATTGCTTTTTCCTTTCACGTTAAGCCCTGTTTAGATTTAGACCTAAGGAAAAGGGACATTGTTGGTTTTTAGTATTAACTGATCTGGGAACCTTTCAAATTCAGCAGTGGGGCGCCTAAGTGCTATAAACAAGCAAACGAAGAAATCTGGCTGAAGCCAGGGTTTTGGCTTAGGTGGCAGTGGCAGTCCAAGCACTAAGGTTTATTTATTTATTTAATCATGGTCCAAAAAGGAAGGACTAAGCAATGCGTGAAGCTGGTCAGAAGGAGAGAAGGAAATGTTTTGGGAAAGTTTGCAAGATAAAGCATTTCCTTTTCATCAAGATGGTAGGCTTGTACCTGACCTATATGACTTTCAAACCTCTGATAGAAATTCAGAGAATATAACTGCTCTCCGTACAGAATCAGTTAGCTTAGCAGAGCAGAACTAAAATGCTGAGGAGAAAGCTGTAACATCTACTTTTCTTTGTGGAAGACATTCCGATACCCACTTTCATGGAGAATTAGATATCTAATAGAACTAATCTCCATCACTCACATACAAAACTTCCTCTTCTGTTGTTACACAAGGTGAGATGCTACAGGAAACTAATCCAAGGACACCCATTTTTCCCATAATCTGGTCCAACCAGGGTCACTTACCTTGGGCTGAAGGTTGAACCACTTTGGACTTGTGTTGCTCCAGTCCCAGGTACTTAAGGCCATCTCCACTTCTCCCAGGAAAAGATTTCGGCCCAGTGAATCATGATGCCAGACAGACAGGTTCAGGATCCTACCCTGGAGTTCAGCCTTTTCAATCTTATACTGTAGGTCAAGATTGGGGGTGAAAATAGGAGAAAAGGGAAGGAGAAAAGATGGACAACTTTAGGGGACACTCCAACTTTCCACCTAACAATCATGTAGGACCAATTCCACAGGAAAAAAAATGTCCATGGATTGGGGGTGGGGGAGGACGTGGTTTTGTGCACTACTTAGTGCAGATGACACTTCACTTGCTTGCGTGGCCCAGTTCCCAACAGGCTGCAAACTGTTACTGGTCCGCAGCCCAGGAGTTGGGGAACTCTGATGTAGAGCAATTGTTCAGAAACATCTGAAAGACAGTGTCTCCTCATTTCTGATTCAGATAGTAGAAAACAGTGAGACTATATCTCCAACCTTGATATATTTCTAATTTTATCATGTAGGGCAGGAGTGGGCAAAAGATTAGGACTACATCTTGATTGGCTGCAGGAAGCCACCTGTTCACATTCCCAGAAAATGTAATGAGACTGAACCTTTTAAGCTAATTTTTCCTTTGTTTTGAATGGGCAGTCAAAGAGGGAATGGGACCAGGTGGCTTCAGACGCTCTGATTTTCACCTTTGTTGAGAGGTGAGAATGCTGAATATTGGTGGCAATATAGGAAGACTGTAAATTACGAGATATAGGCACCCCATCAGTTGCTCATGTTCCAGACCTTTATTCATCTTCCTCTATATAAGTAGTCCTTATGACCGCAACTGAGCCCAAAATTTCTGTTGCTAAACAAAACAGTTAAGTGGATTTTGCCCTATGTTATGACCTTTTTTGCCAAAGTTGTTAAGTGATTCACTGCAGTTAAGTTAGTAACACAGTTGTTACGTGAATCTCGTTCCCCCATAGTCTTTGCTTGTCAGAAGGGCGCAAAAGGTGATCACATGACCCCGGGACGTTGCAATCATCATAAATATGAGCCAGTAGTCAAGCATCCGAATTTTACTCATGTGATCATGGGGTGCTGCACCAGTCGTAAGTGTGGGAAAACGATCGTAAGTCACTCGTTTCAGTGTTGTTGTAACTTCAAATGGTCACCAAACAAATGGTTGTAAGTCCAAGACTACCTATGCCTGCTTCATTCTTTCCCCGTCCACTCATGTAAAATGCTTTAGGTCAGTGTTTCTCAACCTTGGCAATTTGAAAATGGGTGGACTTCAACTCCCAGAATTCCCCAGTCTGGGAATTGAAGTCCACTTATCTTCAAGTTGCAAAGGTTGAGAAACATTGTTTTAGATTAGTTGAGCATAAAAGTTAACAATTATTCTGATGTTCTCAGAAATGTTCTGTTCTCCCAGAACCACACTGAGGAGGAGTGTGGTTTTCCAGAAGTCAATTTTCTGGAACAGAAACAGAGTTCCATAATGTTCCAGGAGTGGCATTGTCAAAAAGCTACCGGATCATTGTGCCAGAAAATGTCTGGATGAGCAATTCCAGGAGAAAGAGAGAATGTCTAGAGAAGGCTGGAAGGCTCTGTCCTTGGAAAGGTGACTTTGTACGTCACTTTGCTTCTGATTACTAGGCGCTAACATCAGAAGCTGCTGCTTCTCCCTCACCTTAAGCGTCTCATTAAAGATAGGATCTAAACTTCTCTTCTTGACAGCAGTTTTCCTCTTGCTGTGATTGGATCTGTCAGGCAGCAGGTAGGTTTTGACATATCTGGGTGGGCGAGAAAGGCATTACAAAGTCAATGTAAGTCACCATGAGAGGCTTGCCTGAATTTGGCACCTGATGCCCTGGAATGAGGTTTTAATCATCTGAGACATTTCTATAAAATACACCATTCGTATCACAGATGATGTACAAACAGGTTTGCATAATGGCCTTTGTCCAATTGTTGACTGGTGTAAATTTACAGACAAGCAATCAATTGGCAGGATTTGTTTTAAATTGACCTCATTTGCCTAAGTATATCATTAGGTAAAATTTATATGACATGGTTATGCAAATGATGCCAATTTATGCAAATAATTCCTGGAGGTTTATACCAGTGCAAAAGCTATCAAAATATCCAAATTAAATTCATTATTTGTGGGAAGGTCCAAATCCAGATTTCCTCAAGTAAAACACAATCTGCTAAAGGGAGGTCTATTAAATCAAAATTTGACTATGGTATCATCCTGCTAGGAGCGGCTGCAAGTCCGTTGAAAGACCTGAACAGCTTCTATTCTTCTTAAATTGTGAGACACACACCCAGATGCCCATCAGCCTTCAAGGATGCTTGAACTATTGGTCTGCATCTAAGAACTAGCCCCTTCCCCAAACGTACGGATCTGTGCGCTGTTTTTTAGCTTCAGCAAGATCCCGGCACTGAATGATCTGGACGTGGAGTTCCTTCTTGGAGGAGTCATAGCGCAAGGAGAACTGGATGCAACCACGGACCTCGATGCTCCCAATATCATTGTCACTGAACATGCTCGCCATACTGCCACTCATCTGCAGTAAGATAAGAACAGTCAAGGGTCAAGAAAGGAAGGGACAGATTCTCAACGTAGGTCAAGGACAATGTTTTGGCCTCAAGAGTGTGAAATCTTTCCAGGAAATTGAAAACAATACAAAACTGAACACTGTTCAATAGGTATACTACACCCAGCCCAAAACAAACAATATGAGCCGAGGTGGCGCAGCAGTTAGAGTGCAGTATTGCAGGCCATTTTAGCTGACTGTGTTCAGCAGGTCAGCGGTTCAAATCTCACCGGCTCAAGGTTGACTCAGCCTTCCATCCTTCCGGGGTAGGTCAAATGAGGACCCAGATTGTTGGGGGCAATGTAAATATATATATACATTGCTTACTGGTGTACACCGCTTAGAGCAGTGGTTCTCAACCTGTGGGTCGGGACCCCATTTGGGGTCGAATGACCATTTCACGGGGGTCGCCAAACCACGCTGTCTGCCATTTTTTTCTCTTTTCCCTAGCTGTCCTACTCCCTCTTATTGGTGGCCACACCCACTTGGGGGTCACCACAACATGGGGAACTGTATTATGGGGTCACGGCATTAGAAAGGTTGAGAACCACTGGCTTAGAGAGCGCTTGCACTTAAAGCGGTATATAAGTCTCATAAATAAATAAATTGCTTACTGCAATTGTTTCCCTCAGGAGGGGGAGGGAGAGGGGAGGAGAAGGGAGGGGAGAGGAGATGATAGTGAAGGAGAGGGGGAGGGGAGGGGAAAAGAGAGGAGAGGAGAGGAGAGGGAAGAGGAGAGTGTAGAGGAGAGGAGAATAGAGGGCAGGGGGGGAGAAGAGGAGAAGGGATAGGGGAGGGGAGGAGGGGAGAGGAGGAGAGAGGAGGAGAGAGGAGGGGAGGGGAGAGGAAGGGAGAGGAGAAGAGAGGAGGAGAGAGGAAGGGAGGGGAGAGGGAGAGGAGAGGAGGAGAGAGGAGAGGAGAGAAGGAGAGGAGGGGAGGGGAGGAGAGGAGGAGAGAGGAGGGGAGGGGAGGGGGAAGGAGAGGAGAGATCAAAATTAACCGGGAGTCTCAGAGAAGTTCTCCTGCATCTAAATGTTCCCTCCACTTAGGGGTAGAGGCACCATGAAAAGAGGCTGGAAAGAGTGCAAAGAAGAGCAAGCAAAATGGTGAGAGACTTGGAGGCTGAATCCTAAGAATTATAATTTTAAACCACTGGGTACATTTAACCTAAAGAAGAAAAGCTTAAGGAGAGACATGGTAGCAGTCTTCCAGTTCTTGAAGGGCTGTCACCAAGAATAGAATGTAGATTTATTCTCTGCAGTGTCTGAAGATAGGAAAAGAACCAAGCCCTGAAAGATTTGCATGCAGATATATCCAAACTTGAAATAAGGAGTTATTTTCTGACCAAGGAGCTAGTGGAACAGCCTGCCTCCTGGAGTTATTCAAACAGGCATTTGTCTGGGATGATCTGGAGAGATCTGTCCTGAGCAGTGGTTAGACTAGGAGACATCCAACATTCATTCCAGCCCTCAAGTTGAAAATCATCCAAGAAAAGATAACAGGGAAATTAGTATTTTCTACTGAAGCAGTCTGTAACTCTTCACCCCAAGGACCATTTTTGCAATTCTTGGAATCCATTTTGCCCATAACTACTAAACACTGATGACACCGTTTCCTGTCACTTGGAGAAGAAGAACCACAGAGAAACAAAAGTCCTAAACAAGGCTTAACACATTTTTAAATGCCAAGACAAACCTTAAGTTTTCCCCCAAACCTATGCATTGATACCAAAGCTAATTTTATATTTGGAAAAAGAATATCTGATATAGAATTTAATTCAACATGGAATCCATTGTTAGACTATAAACTTGTGAGCAGGTTTCTACTGTGGATAAATTTTCCTAATATTAGTAATTAAGATTAAGATATTGATCTCTTTATGATATTCTAAATTCAGCAAATTCCTTGCCTTAAGCAGAAATTATTACAATTTTTAATTCTAGTTTATAATTTAGAATTTGAATCATACTGGTTATAGCTGTAAAATGCTGCCTAATACTCTGAATTTAATTGTGATTATTTTAATATTGACTTAAAATGTGCAACTGGCACAACACAGTATAATATGGGATACAAAGAAATATGCAGATCTCTATCAATGCCATTTGGAATTGTTCTCTCTCTTCTCTTTGTTATCTTCAGGTATTATAAATATGATTATCATTATGAATTCCAGCAATATTTTTTGCATCATCACCCTATATCTGTGGTGGCGAACCTATGGCACATGTGCCAGAGGCGGCACTCAGAGCCCTCTCTGTGGGCACACGTGCCCTCACCCCAGTCCTAGGCATTCAGCTGGGTTTTATAAAACCTTTTCGCTTTAGGCTTCCGCCACTGTGTGCAAAAAAAAAAAAAAAAGGTTCAATCAATCAATCAATTTCAACTTCTCATGGGAAAAAAAATCTCGCAAAGTTAGAATTCATTGATTGAACTTTTTAGTCCCGTCCAGTCTGCCGTTACCATCGCAGCCACGCCCACCCAATGGGCCACACCCACCCAATGGGCCACGCCCACCCGGCACTCGACGATACATAAGTGGGTTTTGGGTTGCAGTTTGGGCACTCGGTCTCTAAAAGGTTTGCCATCACTGCCCTATATAATATAGTTTTTAGCTAAAACTTATATTTTTACTACAACCATGAAATCACGTACCGTGGATGAACTCAAACTGGAGGTGGAGGAGCTAGTATTTATTCCTTTATTTGGGGGGCTCACTGGATACTCCCTTGAAGGTGAAGAAACCAAAGCTGAGCCTTGTCCATTTTCCAATCCGTTGTTATTCTAAGGTTTTGAAATAATTGGGAGAAGAAGAAAAAGAAGAATGTTCTCATAACCTGCCTACAATAGGGTAATCTCCTAATCTTAAAACCCATCACTGTGAAATTCCAGCTGCAGAAGGATACAGTACATACAAGAAGGGACGGTACATCACAACTGTAGTATGCCCTTCTATATGTGAATTCCCAGTTGGAGGTTACATGGTAAAAATTCAGTGTTACCAATCCCCATTCAGGGAGTGGAGAAGTGGAGACAAAATTTTAGTTTGGATGTCACCTCTGAATAAAGTCCGTTAAATAGGGCAAGGCAGGGCAGGGATAACCTTTATTGTCACTTTTTTCTGTGAACACACTGGCACACATTAAAAAAAAATTTAAAAAATTAAATTCTGATGCCTGCTCTTAAAAGTGTGTGTGTGCAAGGGATTACAGTGGGGGTCTTCAAACTTGGTCCTTTTATGACTTGTGGACTTCAACTCCCAGAATTCCTCAGCCAGGCACGCCTGCTTGGCTAAGGAATTCTGGGAGTTGAAGTCCACAAGTCATAAAAGGGCCAAGTTTGAAGACCCCTGAATTACAGGGTCATTAAAAAAAAGTGGCCATTTGTACCTGCACGGTGTCCCTGAGAAATGGGTCCACTCCAGGCTGTTCTTGTTCCTCTATCTCGGAATTCAGACTGCCGAATGAGCTGCTTCTCTCTGCAATGGTCAGTGGGGTTAATGGATAGGGACAAGATGAGGCACGGGACTCGGAAACTCGACAGTTTTGTGCTGCCCCCCCCCCCAGTCTCAAGACACAGCACAAATGAGTTTGCCACAAAATGTCACAATATGGGATATTCCTGTTCAGAATGCCAGCTAGCCAGTCCCATGTCGTTTGCACCCCACACCCAGACACCCATTCAGAGAAAGTGGATGTGCCCATTCATCATTAGATGGTTTTGTATCCTTCCCCCCAAATCTTACAAGATTGTTTTCCTAAAGCAGGGGTCTCCAAACTTGGCAACTTTAGGACTTGCTAAAAGAACTTTAAGCATGGCTGCTAATGGGCTTATGCATAGTAGGGATGGAGAGGAAAAAGCTGACTTTTTATACATGATTTGCTTTGTGCTTTGGAAACAAGCAAGTAGCTGGTTGGGGAGAGAAAACCGCAGGGTCGCCATAAGTGATGAATTCTTATTTGTGGACCTTCACTATTTTGCTTCCTCCCCAATTGCTTTCTTGAGTACAAATGAAAACTCTCTCCCTCAAAATAACAACCCTGATTGGGAGGAGGAGTGAATTTTCATCAGAATATAGTGATACCTTGGTACTCAGCTGCTTTGAAACCCATCAAATTTGGTACTCAATGCATTTTGATGCAAAATTTTTTCCCGGTACTCATCATTTGTTTGGTACTTAAAGCATAAGCTAGAACCTGTCAGTGTCAGCTGCCTTGTGACTCACTACATTATTCCTTATTGGAAAAATTAGTTTGGTGCTCATCATTTTTGGTAATCATTGTGCCTCCCAGACCCAATTAACAATGAGTACCAAGGCACCATTGTAATGGCTACGGGGAGATGAATCCTGCTGCTTCTCTCAGATCTCTGCAGCCCCAACCCTCCCTCAAGTTCAGGGGGACCTATGTGGGTATTTACACCCAAAAGAAAGAACCACACACTAATGCAACATGTCTGTTTTGTGGCTGCCCCCTAGCACAGCTGCACATTTCTGATGGGTTTTTACCAAAAGCGTTTTCAACAGCCAACTCTGGGAAGCAGACCGCATCCTTGGACATGAGATTGGCCTCCTAAGAGAGAAAGAAAGAGAAGCGGTCACTGGACACTGGACACAGATGATTTGAACACAAATATATCTTCAGATCCTTATCGGCCTAAGCCAAACTGCACCAGCGACTGCAATTGCACCCAGAGCTAGACAGCCCAAACCATTTGTCAAAGCACTCTGAGGCTTACAACAACAAAATGCTCTGGATCCACAAGTCTCCAGGGATATTTGCAAAGTTCTAACATTAAACGTCTTCTTCCTTAGATTTTTTTTCAAATCTTATTTGCACAAAGGCCACCCTTGCACTCAGAATGAAGTATCAAGATTTTTAAAGGGGGGCAATTTAATACCAAAGGGCAAACAGTGGCTTTCCGGATTTTGCCAAATTTAGTCTCCCTATGAGTAAGTGAGAACTGGAAAAGTACAGAAGCATCTCTAGAGGTTGCCGGCTTTGGTTTCTGGAGCTGAATCAAAGTTTCTGCATTTCAGAAGTGATGCTCCTGCTCCCGGTGTGCTATTGGCAGGGAGAGCCTTAGAAATGAGCATATGGGGCAGTTGCCTGATTCTCCTTCAGCTCCAGCACCCTGACTCTATTGTTCCACCTCCTGCCATTTACAACTGGCACAAATGTTCACAACCACCATCTACTCTGCATGATGGATTACTTGGCCATAATAAACCACTTACCGAGGTCCTTGTCAGCTGGAAAGTCTGAGGCACAGCAGTCCCAGAGAGCAGTCTATAAGAAAAAGAGATGTGATTGTTGTTGTTGTTGTTATTATTATTATTTCATAGCAAGGTCTCTGGCTCCATCCCCAGGAGGTGTTTGATTGGGTCCCACCCAGATTGCCTTCCAGAAGCTGCTTTTAAAGGCATTTGGGCCTTGAATCAAACTTTGACTCCATCTTGGTTTGATTATAGCTTTGTTTGGTTCATCTAATTTTATTCTATATTTTTATTATTCATTGGACCTTTATTTATATACATCTGTTTATTTCTTAAGCATGTTATGTGTAAACTACCAAAAATCCTCAGGGATTTGGCACTCTACAAATAACAATACTAAATATGGTAAGGATTTAGACACGTTCTAAAAGGAAAGATTGGAAGAAGTGGATTTGTTTTCTGGAAAATATCAGAGAGGGTGGATGGACAATGTTAATACCATTCTTCAAATACCTGAAGGTTTTTTACATAGGAAAGGAAAACAACTTGTCTTCCACTACTCCAGATAAGGATAAATTTCAACTGAAAAGCGTTAAGCAGTTAAAAGTGGAGTGGGGACCAATTGGAGGGGAGATTACATGGCTCAGCAGATGATGCTGAACTGTATTTCCCAGCTTCCATCATTATTGACCATGCCAGTGGGTGCATCATCTGGAGGACACAGGATCTCTTCTTCAATATAAGGGATTCAGGGACTTTCTCCTCAGTTGAGGTCTTCAACAAGAGGTTGAAGTACTATGTTTTGGGAATGTTCTACCTCTGAATTTCTTCAAAGACTTTGGATTGCAAGTGGGAGAAAGCAAAACTTCAGATGACAGGCAGATGATCAGTAAGATACCCCAAAGCTGAATGGTAGCAGAAATAATTCTATTTAGTTAAGTCAAAGAAAGGAATACATTTATTTATGAAGCGTCAAGATTGAGCTCTGATTCTAGCAATGTAGCCACATATTTGGGCATGGGTTCAGAAGAAATATCTTGTTCTGAAATTCTTCAAACCATGTGTTCAATCAAGAAATTGAATTACAATGTCTGGGTTGACATTTCTTTTTGCTGGCCAAACTTGTTTCAAGAGCCATTGCTGCCACATTTCCTATCTCTAGCTCATTGCTTGAGCTTCTGTTGAAAGACCCTCTTATGTCATCACCCTTAAAAAAATGTCTACAGCTTTCTCAAATAACTCTTCCTCCTTGACAATTTAGGAAATGTTTTCTGTTGTTAGAATGAAGCTTTAGCTGTTTGTAACACCTTTTGAGAAGCTTGCATTTTCATAGCAAAAACACAACTTCCTTCCACCTGAATATGAAAGCTGCTTACACATCCATAGTCTTCATTGTCTTCTCATCCTCTGGTGCATCCATGGCCTCCATTTTCTTCCCATCCTCTGGCACAGGTTCACTGATCATAACTACATTCTCCAGGCTTCTCTGTTGCTTGAATTCCTGTTCATCTGCTTTGGTAGGGTGAAAGTAGTAACTTATCAAAGAGAGATCCAACATAGAACTAAGGGGACATTTCTTTTTTTTTTTTTTACAAATTTTATTTATAATACAGTTAAAAACAAACAAACATTGGATTTAACGTGACATTCCAGTATATACATTCTTATCAGATTATTCCACTTTTTACAATCAATTCTTCATCTCTACATATACATCTAAGTTTTATATACAATACTTGTTCTAAAATAACATATAATTCTATCTTAACGTTCATCTTTAATCTCGACTGTCCTCTTCAAATTCCTCCAGCGGTAAAATTTATTCCAGGTTTCATAATAAACTGATCCACATTTATCTTTTAATATCATTGTGAGCCTGTCCATTTCCGCACATGCTAATATTTGATGTATTAACTCTTCCTCTGTGGGAATTTCCTTGCTCTTCCATTTTTGCGCAAAAGCAAGCCTAGCTGCAGTCAGGATGTGTAGCAGCAGGTAGATTGTTCCCTTGTCGTATTTTTCTGTCGTTATTCTAAGGGGACATTTCTTGACAGTGAGAACAATTAATCAGTGGAATGGCTTGCCTTCAGAAGTCGTGGGTGCTCCATCACTGGAGGCTTTCAAGAAGAGACTGGACAGCCACTTGTCTGAACTGGTATAGGGCAGTGGTGGCGAACCTATGGCACGGGTGCCAGAGGTGGCACTCGGAGCCCTCTCTGTGGGCACACGTGCCGTTGTCCCAGCCTTGCCTTCCCCCACAACCCCATCACCAGCAGCCCCCCTGGAAGAGAGTTGCCCCCAAGCGTGGCCCATGCGGAGCAACGCAGCCAAGGACATGGCAGCCAGGCAGCATAGACAAGACTCTGCCCTCATGCCCCATCACGTACAGTTGATGCTGTGGGGCGTGGGCAGAGAGTGTGGCCACCATGGCGCTGCTGAGCTGCCTGGGTGATCTGCGGTGGGCTGTGGAGGCGGTGAGTGGTCCTGCAGGCAGGCAGAGTGGGGGCGGGGTGGGGTGGGGCAGTGAGTGGAGCAGGGGCGGGGCCAGTTTTTGGACACTCGGTCTCTAAAAGGTTCGCCATCACTGGTATAGGGTCTCCTGCTTGAGCAAGGGGTTGGACTAGAAGACATCCAAAGTCCCTTCCAACTCTATAATTTTGTATTCTGTATTCTTTGACTGCCTAGCTTTATGTGCCATAACAAAGTCAACTGTAACCAAGAACACTTTCCTTTTCAGAAACAATACTGCATTGATCCAAAAGAATGAGAACTCCGAACTGAGGATAACTCTCCTTATTACCTCAGAAAAGGAAGATGAGTCAGGGGGAAGAAATCATCCATCCTCACCATGATATTCTGAGCAACCTGAGGCAATCCTCTCCTTTAAAAGCTACATTGTAAGATTGTGAGAGCTATTAACACCAATGGAGCAGTCTGCCTCCTAAAGCTGTGGGTGCTCCATCACTGGAAGTTTTCAAGACAGGATAGGACAGGCATTTGTCCAGAATTATATGAAGGTTTCTGCACTAGGCACAGACTTGGACTAGATCTTGGCAACTTTACGACTTGTGGACCTTGACTCCCAGGGGAATTCTGAGAGTTGACATCCACAAATCTTAAAGCTGCCAGATTTGGAGACCCCTGGACTAGAAGACTATATGATTATTTGAGGAGCAATCTTCATCAGTTAGTGAGTTCCCAAAACATTGCTTCTCTTGTTTCTTTTTCCCTAATCTTGAAACCTAAGGAATAAGAGGACAGTCAAGCACCTTCTTCTCTTACCTTTGGGCTTCTTCTTCCGTCGGATCGAAGCTCGGACAATGTCTGCCCCGAAGAGATTGCGCTGGTGCCGTTTGGAACGGACATCACGAAACCATTCGCCAGACAAGATCTTCAGCCAGTTTGGGTCAGAGACAGATTTGCGCAGGTTGCTTGAGGGGGCAGAGAAAAGGAAAGAGAAACAAGCAAGTTGGAAAGCTTTGCTGGGCCAGAATCTCCTCTTTTTCTTCTTCCTCATTATCGCCTATTTCAGTGGTTCTCAACCTTTTTAATGCCGCGCCCCCCAACTGGTCGTAGGTTGAGGACTACTCAACCGGTCGTAAGTCGAGGACTACTCAACTGGTGCAGCACCATTTGCAGAATGGGACTTTTGGCGGGCTCAGCAGGGCAGAGGCAGCCTGGACAGTTCCTATTGGCTTTTCAAAGCCAATAGAATTAGACTCTATTCAAGAGAGTCTATTCTATTGGCTTTCCAAAGCCAATAGAATAAAAGGGAGTAGCACAGCTAAGGAAAAGGGGGGGGGGAATGGCGGACTGCGTTGTTTGGCGACCCCCGTGAAATGGTCGTTCGACCCCAAATGGGGTCCCGACCCACAGGTTGAGAACCACTGGCCTATTTAGAATCCAAATGTTTTGTCCAGCAAGCTTTCAAGGCAGAAAACACAGTTAGTTGGAAGTGAATCAAAACAGTTAAAATTATTAATTCAGGCCAAGAAGGATTTGGGAAAAGGAGATTCCAATGCTTCTAGAAAGATGAAACTATGGTAGCTAAATGCAACCTTATGATTGCTTGCCTGGAAGTAAGTTCAACTGAATTCAAGGTGACTTCTTTGTGAGGCGTAAGACTGGACAGTAACCCGTATGCCAGGAAGGGCATGTGTCATTTTTCAGACTCACATAAATCACAGTTGACATGACCAAAGCTGAGAAGCTGAAAGTTTTTAGGCCAGATAAGCTAGGAGGGATATATATGTTCCCAACTCCAATGCATACTAATAGCAAACTCAGTATTCGGTGCAGATTGCTACACAACCCACACTGCATTGCCTCTTTGTAAGGAAGCATTATCAACCAGGAGGAACCTCAAAGTTTGTTAAAGTATCCTCATAAGGTGATAGGAAGTAAGAGATGATAAGTGACTTTAGGTGTTATAGTACAAAATATGCAATTTCTGATGATATTGCTGCAATTTTATAATTTGCCTTTTTTGCATAATATCATTATGCCCCAGCAGTGCTGGTCTTTTAAAAAACTCTTAAGACTTAGATGTTCACCCAAGAATAAGTGTCAGACCTATGTGTGGTATTATTAGTCTACTATTGACAAATATAGCCTCAATTGTCCTTTTGGCTTTTGTGTGTGTGCATATGTATATGTAATTGTTATATTTATATTTTTAACTATATAGTCCTTGATTTATGATCACAACTGGGACCAGAATTTTGGATGTTAATCAAGGCAGTTTTTAAGTGACTCACACCTAATTTTATCACTGTTTATTGCTACAGTTAAGCAAATCACTGCAGGTATTAAGTGACTCACACGGTCATTAAACAAATCCAGCTTTCCCCATTGACTTTGCTTGTGGGAAGCCAGCTGGCAATCATATAACCCTGGGGCACTACAACCATCATAAATACATGCTGGTTGCTAAAGCACCCAAATTTTGATAATGTGATCATGAGGATGTTGCAACGGTTCTAAATGCAAATACTGGTTGTAAGTCATTAAATGAATGGTTGTAAATTGAGGACTATTTGTATATGCTGCCCAGGGTTGCCTTGGCGAGATGGGTGGCCATATAACTTGAATCAAATTAAATCAAATCAATAAATTATGTTGTGCATGTCATCGTCATGATTTCTAATAGATGCAAAAGGCCTATAATTTTTTTTTTTAAAAAAAAAACCTAATGGGGATGGACACGAAAGCAGCCCAAGTCTAAACATCAGTGGCTCTGGGTTCCTTTCTAGGGTGGGGTTTGGCAAGACAAAAATGAAAGAATAATGTAATGGACACTCTCCTGAGTTGCTCCTTTAAGCACATGGGTAGGAAAATGTCCCACTCAAATCTTGCCCTGCCCACTCCAGTATGGCTCGACCAGTACAAAAGACGTACCAGGTCCCACATTTGGCCTGATGACCATAGATTGCCTATGTACGGCCTCAGTGAATGAAACCATGGAGGACATCTTGGAGAGAAGACCCCATTAGAAATAGAGATGATCCTAATCTGGCCACTTTAAGAAAGCATCTAAAATCTATTGAGACAACCACCACAGAACAGGTTCTCACTTGATCCGTCCTTCCTCACACATCTGGAGCTGCAAGTCTCTGTGCAAAACTTCCACAATTGCATTCTGCTCCTCCTCGGTTAGGAAGCTGAGGTCCAGCAGGGCCTCAATGCCAGGGTCTTGATCCATGGAAAGTACTTGGTAAGAATGTCTCAAGTCAACACCATCCAGTTCTAATCCCATCAGCGTTTGCTAAACATTAGTGTCCTCCTGCCGATGCATCCTCAGTGTGGAACTGGAAGGCAGATGTTATTGTTCTCCTTGTTGCCATAGGTACAGGAACAATTCTCAAGAAGGAAGCACCTGGCTCTAACCGATGAGACATGGGTGATGACTCTCCATTCAGGTTGCCTTCAGAGAATATGCACCCTACTGGGGGGAAAGATAAAGGAATGGTTTTTCTTTTCTTTTTTAAGCTAACAAAAGGGCCCACGGCCCACTCAAATTGATGCATATGTAGATAGCTTTTCTTAAAAGGGGAGAGAGAGAGAGAGACAGAGAATGCTTATTGAAAGATGCAACAATGGCTGTGTATAACAGTGTGATTCTCTCCAAATTGCTATATGAAAGTGAGAGATGAATTTGTCAAGAAAAACATAAGTGAATGCAATAGGAAGGAACACTTAGGAAGCGTGCGTGACAAAACATGAAGAGAGAGGGTTAAAATAAATTGGTGCTGAATAAATGTGGACTGAATCCAAATATGAATGACTAATTTGAAAGGATTACATTATTTTTTATTCTATATCAATTTATATAGTTTGGGATCTTGGAGTCCTAGTGGGCAATCACTTAAATAGGAGCCAGCCCTGTGCTGCAGCTGCCAAAAAAAGCCAACACAGTTCTAGGCTGCATTAACAGAGGGATAAAATCAAGATCACGTGAAGTGTTATTACCACTTTATAATGTCTTGATAAGACCACACTTGGAACACTGCATCCAATTTTGGTCACCATGATATAAAAAAAAATGGAGAGACTCTAGAAAGAGTGCAGAGAAGAACAAAGAGGATTAGGGGATTGGAGGCTAAATATATAAAAAACATTTGGAGGAAATAGTAATAATAATAATAATAATAATAATAATAATAATAATAATAATAATAATAATAATAAGTTGGAAGGGACCTTGGAGGTCATCGAGTCCAACCCCCTGCTCAGGCAGGAAACCCTACACCATTTCGGACAAATGGCTGTCCAGTCTCTTAAAAACTTCCAGTGTTGGAGCATTCGCCACTTCTGGAGGCAGGTTGTTCCATTAGTTAATTGTTCTAACTGTTCTAACTAAGTTTCTCCTTAGTTCTAGGTTGCTTCTCTCCTTGATTGGTTTCCATCAGTTGCTTCTTGTCCTGCCCTCAGGCGCTTTGGAGAATAGCTTGACTCCCTCTTCTCTGGGGCAGCCCCTGAGATATTGGAACACTGCTATCATATCCCCCCTTGTCCTTCTCTTTGTTAAACTAGACTAGGATGCTTTGACATGATAGCAGTGTTCCAATATCTAAGGAGAAATGTCCTGATGGTTAGAACAATTAATCAGGGGAATGACTTGCTTTTAGAAATTGTGGGTGTTTCAACAATGGAGGTTTTTAAGAAGAATCTGGACAACCAATTGTCTGAAATGGTATAGGGCAGGGGTCTTCAAACTTGGCTGCTTTAAGACTTGTGGACTTCAATTCCCAGAATTCCTCAGCCCGCCATGCTGGATGAGGAATTCTGGGAGTTGAAGTCCACAAGTCTTAAAGAGGCCAAGTTTGGAGACCCCTGGTATAGAGTCTCCTGCTTGAACGGGGGGTTGGACTAGAAGACCTCCGAGGTCCCTTCCAAGTCTGTTCTTCTGTTGTCTCCCAATTGCAACTCTGAGTATTGAACACAGAATTAAAAACAACAGAAGCAATCCAAGAAAGTAATTCTAACAATAGTACAGTAACACTATAATGGTACCGAAAGAACAATCTAATTTAATCTATAAAACAATAATTATAATAAGAAACATTATATTGATGGGCTCATCCAAGCTCCAGACTCTGCACTTGAAGGAACAACCAGTTCTTCAAGGATTTATGAAATGCCAGTGGAGTCATTGCCAAGCAAATACAGTGGTACCTTGGTACTTAATGTGAATTGGTTCTGGGAGATGCGATGGGTACCCAAAATGATAAGTACTAAACAATTTTTTCCCAAAAGGAATAATGTAGTGCAGGGGTCTTTTATGACTTGTGGACTTCAATTCCCAGAATTCCTCAGCCAGCATGCCTGGCTAAGGAATTCTGAGAGTTGAAGTCCACAAGTCATAAAAGGGCCAAGTTTGAAGAGCCCTGATGTAGTGAGTCACAACTCAGCCGACACCAACAGATTCTAACGTGCACTGAGTACCAAGCAAGCAAAGAGTAATTTTTGCATCAAAATGCATTGGGTACCAAATTTGATGACTTTCAAATCAGTTGAGTACCAAGGTGCCACTGTATCAAGGGGCATGTTGTTCCATAGAGTAGAACCTGCAAAAGAGAAGGCATGCTTTCTGGGCCCCACCAGATGGAACTGTTTAATAGTTAGGATGGGGTGGGCAACTATGGCAGCTGTATGACCTGTGGACTTCAACCCCCATTCATGCTGGCTCAGGAATTCTGGGACTTGAAGCCCACAGGTTGTAAAGTTCCCATGGTTGCCCATCCCTGAATTATGACCTGGAGCACGCCCAATTTGCAAAATTTGGGACAAGAAGAAAGATTTGGAGAAAATGTTGTGGTCATATAGAGAGAATTGCAAAACGAATCTGTGAAAGAAGAGTGATTGGGTCAAAAGCAAGGGGAAGCTCAAGAGAGCCATAGGTGGACGGAGCTCCCTTCATATTTATTCTTCTTTTACAGCAAACATTCAACATACTGTAATTACCGAATATGCCCAACAGAGAGGAGTTTGAGGAAAGCTTGTGTTTGTTTTGGAATCCATAAGGTTGTATTTCTATAACAAGATTCTTATTGTGATTCAGTCAATCTCAACACTTCCCTGAGCATGTCAAGGTCTTTTTATTCTTTCTCAAGCTTCCTGTTTCGCTCCTTGTCTGTGTAGCTCCCGCCATCTACATTCACCCTTAAAAGGCAGGAACAATTGTGAAGTACTAATGCCTGGCTCCAACCATAACATTTTTTTTTTATTTCATTACAATCAATAGCTGTTTGACTACACAAGTGTATTTTATTCATTTTTAATTCTCTATTCATGTTTGTAAAGACTTTTCTGTCGTTATGGAAAATTGCGCTGAAGTCTGTGGCAAATCCCCTTTTCAAAAGAGTGATTACTCAAGGAGAAGAAAAGAGAAATAAGCTTGAATAAGTTGGCAGTCTCTTAAAAGGTTCTTTCATGCCCACCTCAAAAGGATGAATGAAAGTTTTGAAAACTTTGTTTTGATGACCAACAGACTTCCTACTCTGCCTGCTAAAACACTTTGGCATGGAATTGCAAAACTCAGACACTAGCATTATTTGCAAAAAAGTAAAGATACCTCTTCAAATCAAAAGATTAACAGAAATGCAAAAAGTAGAAAATTAAAGCACTTTAAAAAAAAAAGAAAGCAGCATGCAACTTCTGAATTCTTGCAATGTGGACTTCTCTCCCTGTCAACTGTTTTTCAGCAGGATCCCACAACCTATGAATTTCTTAGTGGGCTTCCTGAAGATGATGAAAGAGGCTTTGAGCAACCAGTGCTGGTGTCACAATAATCCAGAGGAGGCCTTTTTCACAAACAGGAGTCGTAGTTCCCTAACCACCCAGACCGAGAGAATCACTTCGGAAAGCTAGCCAGCTTGGTCTAGTGATGAAGGCACCAGGCTAAAAAGTAAGAGACTGGGAACTCAGGTCCCACCTTGGCCATGAAAGCAGGCTGGGTGACCTTGGACCAGTCACTCTCTCTCAGCCCAGCTCACCTCACAGGGTTCTTATTGTTGTGGGATTCTTTGATGAATCTGGCTCCCCCGTTGACTTTGCTTGTCAGAAGTTTGCAAAAGGGAATCACGTGACGCCAGGACCCCGCAACAGTCATAAATACATGCCAGTTGCCAAAGCATCCAAAGTATGATCATTTGTACACAGGGATGCAGCGACAATCGTGTGAAAAATAGGTATAAGTCATTTTTTTTTAGTCCTTCTGTGACTTTAAACGGTCGCTAAACAAATGGTTGTAAGTCAAGGACTTACTGGCAAAGAAGTGTGATGAAGATACTTCAATGGTTTATTGACCTTATTTTATACGTAATTTAAAAAAAAAAAAAAGGAATTGAGTCTATGGCCAAGTTGTTCAAGACTCCAGAATGAAAATAGGAGGAATCCCAAACAGTTTTACACTAATACACATTACTGATTAAATACTGTCTGGCAATCAAGGTCGCATCCAATTCCACAGCATATCACAAGCAGCCATTAAGCAGCCACTCTTTTAAAAGGCAGTGGTTTTTTTAAAAAAAAGGGAAACTTCACCATTCAGCAAACTCGAAAATGAGGCTCAGGTAAGTAGCCTAGATGCCCACAGACCCATTTTTGCTGTAACAAACTAGGATAGATATACCTCTACCAGCAACAGGAAGACTACGTCTCTCCACTGGAGGTGTGTGTGTTTGGGAGGGGGCCTTTGGCAAAGAACTGTGTCAATCTTGCACACTCAAACCCAGAAAAGAAGAAATAAAAGAAAAAAAGGGGGGAAGGCTATGCAAACAAAACCGGTTTGTCAGCTCTCAGGAAGCCACGTGGTTTGCTCAAATGTATCCTACAATAACTGGGTCAGATTCAAGGTCTTATCTGCTGGGGGAAGGGGGGGGAATATTCTAGAAGGCAGGTAAATTTCAACCAGGCTGTTGATTCTGAACTCCCAAAAGTTGTGTTCACACAACACGTGGCATCACAAAGTAAGCAGCCACAATTTGATTTGCTGGTTTATCAAATTTAGTCTATGCAAATCAAGCTGAGCAAAAGCAGATACAGTGAACTATGAGTAAATATAAGGTGACCAACCGTCCTCCTTTTGAGAGGACAGTTCTCCTTTTGGGAGTTCTGTTCTCCCTCGAAAATGTCCTCCTAAATGTCCTCTTTTTCTATATTTGAAGACTTATCTGCAGGGCTTTTTTTTCCTCATAGAATGCTCAGAAGGCGTTGCGGGACCTTTTTTTGATGTTTTTTTTCAACTTTTGCCTGAGTTGTGCTACTCCCCCTATTGGCTTTCAAAAGCCAATAGGAATTGCTGCTGAGCGCGCCAAAACATCCGGGCGGCAAACTTTGCACGTGCAAGTTGCAAGAACTTTGCACCCCTCACTGCTACCCAACTACACCATCTCCTACTTAGTTCCGCAGATAGCTGGAAGAGACTGGAGCAGTAAATTTCTC